CATGCCACTTGCCAGGGAAGGCCTCTCTAGTGTGCTTCCTTCCTCTTTTTTTCTTACCGAGGGAAGGTCCTGAAGACCCACTCTCTGATGTGCTTGTTGAAAAGGCCAAGGTGGAAGAGTCCAGAAACCAATGTACCTACTCCTCTTTGTCGTCACTACATTCTCCTTGCCCCAGAGCAATTCAGCACGGTTAACTGCCTAGAGTTGGACCAGATTGATAGTGCTTCTATCCATGTCTTTTTTGCCTGATTCACGTGAAGCCCCGGAGCATGAAACAACAGAAAGATCACCCTCATCTCCACCCCCCACTCCCGACCCCATGAATCTGCCGAGCTTGTCTGTTGGGAAAAGGAAAAAAAAAAAAAAAAAAAAAAAAAAAAAGAATGTTTTACAAGGAAAAACCCAATTTCATTTCATGGAAGAGACATGCCACGCCAGCTTCTGTAGGAATCTAAGGCATGTATTTTTGAAAAGAGACCCGGGACCCTGTCACCCAGAAGTGGCTTCTCTTTGTGACTACCCAGTGTGCCCTAGAACTGTTGTATGCAAGAATCAAGTCGAGCTCTGAGGTCTCTGACTCCATCTGACTGTGGGATCTGCCCATGTGGATAAAGGTAGGCAGACAACTTGAGCTGGCCTTGTTTACAGCTGGACAGAAAACAGCCAGACACAAATGAGGACTGACGGTTTCATAGAGCATGCTGGCTGATCGCAGATGCGATGTGACTGCCCTGAACTGAGCGATGATCCGTACAGTATGCAGAATTCTCTCTCTGGCTGGTCTGTGCCCACCAGCCTTCAAAGGATCTCTCCACACTCCACAGCCACAGCCCAGTGCAACCAGAGATGAGCAGCAGCACCCTGGGACCGATTCCTTCAGACAACAATCACATTCTTTTCACAAACTTATGGATTTGGGTTGTCACTGGTTATAAATGAATTTGCTATTGCTCAAGTTGGCTTACTCTATCAGCTATTTCTTTTCCAGTTGAGAGCACAGGCATCAAAACATATTTGGTACTTTTTAGTGAATAGAAAAATATCATGGGGAATGTATCACTCTCTCAAATACTGTCACCTTTCCAAAATTTCAAGTTTTTTTTTTCTCTTTTCTTTGTACACTTGTACAGATCAACACTCATTGTTTCCTTCCATGGTATATTCAGTGCTCATAATTAATAGGATGCTCCTTCTCAATTTAAAGAGAAATTCTTCTACTTAAGAATATGCATGATTGATAGAAATGTGTTACAAGTTGAGTGGGTGCTGGAGATCTGTATGACATTGTTCTTATGTTTTACCCCGCACTATGTGCTACCATCATTGCATGTAACATCACAGTTCGTAGCACCACATTATGTCCCCTTAAATATTTAGAAGGATCTGTTGACAGCGCAGTGAAAACTTGTTTAATGCTAGATGAGAAAACTGCTCACTTTGATTTGATGTTGACAGTAGTTTTTCATTTAGGTGTCAATTAAATAGAAATCTGAAGGAGGGGAAGAGCCTGGAACATAGCTGTTGGAGATTTAGCTCAGATTTCTAGATGGCTTTGCTTATCTTCAAAGGTTAATTGATATCAGGGAGAAGCAGGAAGATGGTCGTAACTACATTTGATTCCTTTAGTTTATCTGAGTTTTGAAGCACCCTACTGATTAGTTAACAGTTTTAAGTGAATTTATTAAAAAAAAAAAAAAGTAGCATTTTCTTGAGTGGAAATGAATGGGATAATGATTCAAATATGACAGAAGCATCCTGTTCTTTGCACTAAGGAGATAAAACGATCTCACCAGGAGAGAGAGGTCTGAATTGAGAAAGGGGTGGAGACAAACTCAATTTACACTGCTTAAAGGCGCCCATGTGTAAAGGAGAGAAAAGTGAGGAAATTGGTGGAGAGAAGTCGGAAATCACTTCTCATTTCCTTTTGAACATGTGTTAGCAGCTAAGAGGTCACAGACTACAAAATGTCACTTGGTAACCCTCTCAGGGGACCTGTCTGGGGGGTGTGCAACCAGACATCGAGTCCCTTGAAAACACGTGAACTTGACAGAATATCTTTGAGACCTTTCTAACGTTAGCAAGCAAGTGTGTAATTTCATTTGAAGTTCTTAGGACGGAAATGAGGCCTGTTCATAGGGCCATATCCATCTACTTAAAAGCGTGTTTAACTCAATTGGAAAGGACTGAAGTGCCAAATTTACTGAACCATGTCAAGAATCCTAGTACCTGCTGCTATCTCAGATGAAGGCTGTGAAAAAAGAATCACACTTCAACCTTGTTCCTAACGAAATGTCAGGACACATTGTGAGTTACGTGTTTCTAGGAGTTTACCTAGTTTTTAATGAATATGGTCTAATGTTTTAAAATTAAAACAGAAACTATGTCAAGTGTGTAACTAACTTTGTATTCTAATCAATAGGATATTATTTTTTATTGGTGTGTGTGTGTGTGTGTGTGTGTGTGTGTATGTGTGTGTGTGTGGTCAGAGAGCACCTTTGTGGAGTCAGTTCTCTTTTCTCCCTTTATGTGTATCCCTGGGTTCATACTCAGGTCACCAGGCTTGCAAGGCCAGTGCTTTTTCCTGTTGAGCATCTCACCCGTCCCAGCCGGTGTTAACTGAAACATGGCTACAGTTCCATTAACCTAAGCAATTGTAGGTTCTATTCCAGATTCCATGACAACCCTCTGGATGCTATTTATCTTCTAAACAAAGCAATAGTGCCCAATATACAATATACTGTCTGGATGTAAATAAGAAATATCAGGAATTAATAATTTTTTTACAAGATTTATTCTTTATTTTTAATAGTATGTGTGGGTGTGGATGTGGGTGGGTGGATTGTGGGTAACCAAGTGGTCTAAAGCATAAGATCCCCTGCAACTGAAGTTCCAGGAGGTTGGAAGCCATCCGATATGGATGCTAATAGCTGAATGAACTTGGTTCTATGGAAGAACAGACTGTATTCTTAACTGCAGGGCAATCTCTCTAGCCCCAAGGAACTCAGAATTCTTAAACTGAGAGAAAAATCAAACCTTAAAAATTACTGAACTCAGAGACTAGCCCTATACTTTCTTTAAAGGAATACATTGATGTTGTTGCTGAAGGCTTTTGAAGATGTTTGACACAGGTTCTTACAAGGTGTTCCAACCTTGTCTGGAACAAGCTAGCTAGCTCAGTTTGGTCTCAAGCTTGACATCCCTCTGTCGTAACCTGCTGAATTCTGGGATTGCAGGTGTACACACACCACAATTCCTGTCTCCAAATGTCTTTTGACACTTTTTTTTTTTAAGACTAGATCTTACTTTCCTTTAACTTACAGATTATCCTCCTGCCTCAGCTCCTAAGTGCTGAGCTTCCAAGACTGTATCAGTTTCCAAATATCTTTTGAGTAGATTTCTTATCTCATTTAGTTTGGTTTCGTGTGTATAAAATAACTGTAACACATTGTACACTAGATATTTGTTTGAAAGAATAGATTCTTAGAAATCAAGACATTGGGTTTCAGTTGACTTAGGGTATATTAATTTGAAACCTTTTTGTTTTGATGTTTTTCTGGTTGTGACATACTTCATGATAATTTAATTGCTCTGTAATGCTGTAAGACTGGCAGAAGTATTTTCAAAAGGAGTCAAACTTATTATAAAAATTTTAACTAAAAATTGGAACACTACCTAACTACACAATTCATCACAGCTCTCACAGTGGGCAAAGTATTATTTGGAATCTGAATATAGCCCTAAGAAGCATTGTCACAGGCTATCTGAGATGGAGCATTTTCTGTTTCATGATATGATGTCTGAACATCCTTTCCATCCTTGGCAGACTTCATCTTTTGTGTCCACTTACTCTTTTAACTTCAGTTTTTTCATTTGTCTGAGTTTGGGTTTTTCTAGCACAGTTCTTAAAAAACAAAAAACAAAAAACACCTCATTTGACAGTTACCCAGGATTCATTTGGAACTTGTAAGAGCATAGAAGCTCTAGTCATATTTCTAGCTATATATTTCCATTTTGACCATTTATTATGCACACTAATATTAATGTGCTAGTCTAGTTTTCCCTGGTGTGGCACCTCATGAAATCTTTGACACTCCGCATTGTACACAACTCTCTTGCATCATCTTGATTGCTACTGAAATATACCAAGGTTGGATTATATACTTCCTGATTGTATTTAAACCAATACTTACTTCACATACTGTACTTTAGTAGTTTAAAACAAATGTGGATGCAACCAAGAGAAAGTAGGCAACACATGTAAGGTGCCGTGTGTGTGTGTGTGTGTGTGTGTGTGTGTCTGTGTGTTTGTTTGTGTGTGTGTAAGAGAGAGAGTTCTTGTTCATGTGTGTCTGTGTGGGTACATGTATACATGGCATGTGTATAGATATCAGACACACATGTCCTCACTTCTCACCTTAAGATAGTGTCTCTTGTATCTTGTCACAGTATGCCAGGGTAGCTGGCCCAGGACCTTTAGAGATCGTCTGTGTCTCCCATCTTACTGTGGGAGCACTTCAAAACATGCAGTTCTGCATTTGGCTTTATGTGTTCTAGAAATCTGATCACAGGTCCTCATGCTTTCCAGTTGAGCATTCTACCTGCTAAACCATCTCCCCAGCCCACATGCAGATTTTCTATGTGATATTCCGTTCCACCAAAATGAGCTTGTATCTTACAACAGTCTGAACAAATGCAAATTGAACTGTGCAAGTTTTCCAGTGTTCTTAATTTGTTGAGGGCTCTTTGTATTAATTAAAAATGATAAAAAACAAAGTATTTTAATGTGACCTTCATTTGGCATTTGTATTAACTTTTCTTACCCTATTTTATTTAATTCTTCCACTTCTGATGTTCAATTAGTGTTTGACCCCTTTAGGAGAGATGTAAATTAAATGACATTTCAATGCCATCCGCCATCCCATATTTAAAATACTGTGTTAGTTGTGGATCATAAATGATGATCTTCATTCTTTAGCTAATTTATTCATTTAACAATTTCCCTCCAGAAGTTTCAGCAGAAGGCTGTGAAGCCAACTAAGCAGAAGAAATCCACGTCGGCTGAATTTCTGATGGGTGAGCCTTGCTTGATGAGTTATTGCTCATAATTTGTGTAAGGATTAATTAACTAATTACAGACAAATGGCTGTGGGCGAAATTTTGCTCTAGCTTGTCAGGGTGCAATTTGTAATTATTTTAATCATTTATTCTTTTTTTAAGAGTTAATTTTAACCTAATTCTGTTTTGGTGACATTTGAGGACGACACACTTGAGTCTTTCTGCACAAGAATGACTGGGAGGAATTTTCTGTTTAGCATTGGAATCCATTCGCCTAGTATGTGATCTTCTGACCCCCTTGTTTTGAAGAATGCACAGAAGCTGCAGAAGGTGCTGGGAATCCAGGTTTTAACATGAGCAGCCCAGAACTCTTGGCCCATCAGACTCCAAAAGAGAAAGTTATTAGACATGACATGCTGGGTCACACCCTTGCAGCTCATCCACAAAAATCCAGGCTGCCAGCTTCAGCAGGACCCAAAGGTGTGACTTCAGTCCTGGTTATGCTCATGCTTGGTGACAGTTGCTGCTCCTCTCATCTGACCTGGGCATCCTTACCAGGAACCTGACAGAAATTTGAGCATGCCTATATAACTTCTTAGGAGGCTCTGCTTGGGGCTTTGTGAGTGTGTATGTGCACATGCATGCTCATGTGTATGAATGTGTGGTGTACATGTATGTGTGTATGTGCATATATGTATGCATGAGCATCCGTGTGTGTGTGTGTGTGTGTGTGTGTGTGTGTACATGCGTGGGCTGAGGACCAGTGCTGTCATTGCGTGCAGGTGTTACACAGCTTTGTGGGTTACAGATGTGGAACAATTAACTCACCCTTCTTTGGGCAGATGGGGTGGACCAGCTTTGGGATACCAGGATACTAAGACTCGGCTCTGCTGCAGACATGGTTTCAGAGGATGACATTTTTGTTTATAGGATGTCACCAGGCTAATAGAGTTGACATCTCAGTTGACACTCTATTTTAGGTTTTAGACTGTAACAATTCTTCCCTTTAGGTGAATCATGTTCTTCTGTACAAATTCTAGAAACACATGCAAGAACTTACAAATAAACGAAGAAAGAAATTTTAATACTTAGAATTCCCTTGTAGTCATTTACCTGTAGGGAAAAGCTTTATTCTTTGGCTGAGAGGTAGCTCGGATCATCCTACTGCTGGCTATGGAGGCAAATTCTCTCTCTGTTGATACCTGTGGCTGTTCCTCCTGGACTCGGAGCTGCATCTCTTCTAAACTCTGATGGTCCTATACCTACAGAGAAAGGAGTCAATAAAACTTGCTGTCTTTGCTCTTATCTTCAACAGTGAACAAGCAGGAAGTCATCAGAATTTAATGGCCAAATCACTTTTTGAGGGAAACTCTGAAGTAATGAAGCGTGAGCTGGCGCAGATGTGTTCTCCGCTGGTCCCACTTAGCAGCCTCATCATGATTCCCACCTGTACAGAGCAGGCCCTTCATATTCCAGTACGTTTGCTTGTGATGTTTAGCTCCTGAGGCCCAGGGGAAATACTGCCAGCTTAGAAGAGGTTGCTACACTCTGCAATCACATCATCCAGACTCACATCAACTAGAATTAGCTTGGCTCTAGTTTCCTTGCTTGCTATGTACAAGTGCTTTACTTGGATGTTCATGGCCCAGTGAAAAGATGGAGGGCTATCAACAGTGCCCATCTTTGATCATCTACTATATATCAGCCCTACGCTGGCCATTTTGTGAACATCTCCTTTAGTTTCATAAATCTCAGGAGTTATGTTTCAGACAGCAAATTCAGCTGTGCAATGAAGGCAACCATTACAGTCATCAAGACTTTGTATTTCCTAAGCTGTTGTTTTTACTTAATATCCAAAAGTCACACAACAGCATCTCTATGTTCCAAGCATCGAAAGAGAAGAAGGCTGAACAGAAATAGTTAGATGTGGCCTTATGTCTTCTTCTGGAAGTTAGTCATCTGGCCACAGATAGTTGTAAGAGAGTCTGAGACACTGTCATTAGTGAGGAGCCAAGTTTAATGGTGAAACTGGAGCGTTGCTGCTAAAGAAGAAGGCAACACACACTGGAGTCAAAGGGCACATCCTCTCCTGGGTCCATGTGACTGTGGTCCTTATTTTCCAGACAAGGGAGAACGGCTTATTTTAGCTCATGATATCAAAGGTTTCAGTCCATGGCCATGAGCCCCCATTGTATTGGGGCTCATGTGCGTCACTGTGAGAGCATGTGGTACAGACTCACTGTGGCATGGAAGTGTGGGAGGGGAGATAGAGGAGGAGAGACAGAGATGGAGACAGAGACAGAGATGGAGACATTTTTTCTGGAAGATGTGAACAGATGCCTAACCATCCCAGATAATGTACCAACAGCTGATTACAGTAACAATGCGCTGACATCCGACTTGGCAAACCAAGTTTATTGGGGTTGCTTATAGGCATATGAGTGACAGTTACTCACAGGAGCATGGATGACTCGAAGCCATCACATCTCTGAAAAAAATCCCAGCCCAACTGGGGTGACAACTCATGAAAATTCCATCCCTGGAGCTCCCTGCACAACTAGTAGACAGCTTCACAGGTTAGAGATCCTCCTGCAGGGAGCTCCACACAGCAGGAGAGTCTCTTCTCCCCAGCAATTGTTTATTGTTCTTATAACCTTGGAGAGGGACCATGTGAATACTGTCAGTTTCCGGAACTTCCTGAGACTTGAGAAATGCTTGCTTGCCTATTCTCATTACCCTCCTTTTTCCCTCCAGAAGAGACCGTTTCAATTTGGAAGAAATTGTTACCCAATTCAGAAAGATAAAATCTTTAGGCAGAAGTAAAAATTACTGGCAAGCATTAGTCAGAAGACACATAAATGTACCATATAACAAGAGTCACAGAAGTACTTTTAAATTTCTAAGAGCCACCTTAATAAAATGACAAAAAAGTGATTTAAGTTTAAATACATCTTAGAATAGTCTTTAAAATGTCTCCAAAACCATATCCTATCAACCTATGATCAAGGTAAAAATGAACATACTTTGTGATTTTTCTTTTGTCAAAACGTCAGTATGTTCAGAATTGCAGATCTCTTTGCCATGAATTTCCACTTTCAGTTCTCTGGGAATTGTCCATGGACTAAATAGTTGTCTTGGAGAGATAAGAATGGGCATGGAAAGCAATGATTTTCATGAGTGATAGTTGGCCTGACTCTGGAAAACAGGGGAAAGTTGTACCCCAAAGTAGAGCCAGGTGGAGACAACCAAGATGAAAAGAATTTTATGGGGGAATCCAGGAAATGTCTAGCATCTGCACCGATCTCGTCAGACAGTGAAACAGAGAGGGGTTTACCATGTCTGTCCTGGAACACAGCCAATTTAAAAAAAAGTTCATTTGATGCATCTCTCCCCTACTTTGGAAGAGCCTCTAAAAATTCAATTGCAAATGAGATGTGCAATTTTATGGTCTGTGAACAAGGAAGAATATTTTAAATATGTGAATTTAGAAACTGCCAGATAGCATAGAACACAACATTCCTTGTTAAACAACTTTAAGAACATTTTAGACCGTCTGCCAATGTGATTACTTAGACAAAGGAGAAGAGCCATATATTCCCCCCCCATGGTCTTGTTGTAATTAGCACAAATTATCATTTTACAAGAGTATATCAGCACACTTGCCCCTTAAAGATGCATTTTAAAGGAAAAAATGTCAAGTGATGGCAGAATTCCAATGCTACTTATTTATATGAGCTATCACCGGGGAATATAAAAGTATTAGATAAAAGACAGTGTCTAGGAGAGAAAGTTCAGGAGGGGTATTTTCTAAAACAAACTTTAGATAAGAAAAAAAAATCTCAAATATATTGTGGCTTAAGGCCCGAAGTAGAGTAAAAAAGCATGGAGTAAGTGCACACCTATTGTGGTAGCTTGAATGGGAATGGCCACCATAGGCTCATAAGGTGGAACTGTTTGAAAAGAATTAGGAGGTGTGAACTTGTTGGAGTCACTTTGTCACTGTGAGTAGGCTTGGAGGTGTCAAAAGCCCATGCCATTCCCAGTTAGCTTTTTGGTACCTCATGATCCAATCTCAAGATGTAGGTTTTCAGCTAATACTCCAGGGCCATGCCTGCCTGTCTGCTTCCATGCTGTTCACTATGAGGCCATGGGCTCTAACTAACCCTTTGGAACCATGAGCCCCAAATTCAAAACTTTATTTTATAAGTTGCCTTGGTAGTGGTATTTAGTCACAGCAATAACAATGTAACTAAGACGCCTGCCTTTAGAAAAGTAGAAAGGACAGCTTCTGAATAGTCTGCTAGGATTTTAGGATAGTTTGGATGTCCTTCTTGTTTACCTGTGTATCCCAATGTGAAGGCATCCTCACAAGTATCCTTACTGAGATCTTCTCAAGGAATGTCACAGTATGTTGTGCCGTGGATATTCCAGGTTCATATTAGGCATCTTGCTACGGTGTGAATAGCAAACACCAGGTGGGAAGGTACCACTCAGAGCTTGCTGCCTGCTCTAGCTGCGCCTGGGGAATGCTTGGACTTTGCATACCAACTTCTAGGGAAAGCTGACTTCATCGTCTCTCATTTATTATTGGCCTTCCCTTTATAGACAGCTAGCAAACTGATTAGCCTGCCGTTGAGTTTCCAGAGGGATGCTCACACATCATTTTGGGGTTGTGTGTCTTCAGCTCTTCTTTGCTCTTTCCTGTGCACACAGTTTTTCAGGTCCTAGCATCCCTGCTCATCATCCTCTTTGCTCACTGCTGGTGATGTGCCAGCATGATGTTAACTGGACTTCTGAGGAGGGGAGGTTGGGGATTACAGAAATTGAAAAGGGAGAGAGATAGAGAAGCCACAGCTGCTTATAATTTCAAAGAGAGAAAGGGATTGGCAAACGTTCCAAAAGCCAATGATGCCTGAGGCTGGGTAGATGCAAAGGACAACTTTAACATTATGCATATATAACATGGTGGCACTAAAAAGGTGGTTAATGACTGAATTCTAAATGGCAAGAAAATGAAATCTGGGGCAGGTGTGAGAAAGGGCCATGAAAAGAGTTTAGACAGGGAGAAACAGTAACCACTAAGAAGCAAATAGATAGCAGGACAGTTAGGCTAATGGTGAGTGATGTCATTGTAAGTGGGGAGATTTTTTTTCTTTTAATACTTCAATTTCACCCAGGTTATTTTAATAGGGAGAGAGGAAAGGAAATGACTAAAATCATCTTGGTGTATAATGTAGACAGATAAGAGTTGTCCTCACTGTTACAAAGCAGCTCCTGGGATTCTGAGAACTCCCTTCCCATTCTGTATCCCTGCTCCACATCAAGGATGAAGGTGTTCCAAAGATCCTCTGCTGTAAAACTCATGGTATCATCTCCTTGGGATGCAGATGGGCTTTAAGAGTACTTTCATGATCAAGTAATCTGAGAGTTCCTTGGCGATGAACAACAGAAATGATTTAGGATTTTGTGAGCTCAGGGAA